GCAATTCCTCTGGTGTTGCGGTTGTTCATGGGCGGCGGTAGTCACTTACCATCAGGTGAGCCGCATGCTCGTTTGCCCCCTCTCCTATAAAAAAAAAAAAAAAAAAAAATACATATTATAATAGCCCAGTCTTGGACATTAGCCCTTCCCACATTTTCAACGATCATTGAGGACTAACGTGGTAGAACCAAGCTGCAGCTATATTATGGTTGTAAAACGAATGGGTCGGCTCGAACAGGTAAGGACTATGCTCCCACAGAATACCAGAGTGAAATAGCAGCTTAACGCTGCTGTTTCATATGGTTAGTGTAGAGAACCGGATACACTTTTTACTGGCAACGACACACTGCATCTTAGTCTTCAGGGATGACAACGCATCTGCATTTTGATTCTTAAACGAGAATAGATCCAGATGTGTAAGGGCCATAGCATCCACTTATCACCAAGTGAACTGTGTGCTCATTTATCACTCTTATTCTATAAAAAAAATACAAGTAAAATGTGTATCCGGTTCAAAGGTACTCACCTTACGAATTATTAATACATAAAATAATTTTTAATAGAATAAAATCCGTCTTTTTCAAAGAAATACATTAAAATGTTTTCTTTGAAAAAGGTGCATATATAGTAAAACTGAATTATAGGGTGAGAAATTGTGAGTTAATAGAATGTCTTCAAGTTTTCTGTTTGCCGATAAATATAAGCTAGATCACCAGGCATTGCTCTCTATTTGTTCGTGAACTTTTCTTTTCTGAGGGGCTTATTTGGGAAGAACCAGCAAGAAACCCAGCGGGACTTTTTTTTTTAAATAACAGCTTACAATCATGTATGTTACACAAATTAACAACACAACAAATTAGAAATAGCTTGCTAGCGATCACCTCATTTCCAGGGGTTATTATCATCCATAAATTCCTTAATATTATAATAACCCTTTTTATACAAACTTAGCTTAATAAAGTTTTTGAACTTTGAGCAGGTCAAATTTTGTAAATCTGCATATATTCTGGAATTTTGTTGTAAAAGCGTATACATCGCCCTAAGAATGAATTACTGACTCGATGGAGTCGAATAACTGGTACTACTAGCTTGTGTCTGTTCCTAATATTTACAGAATGAATATCACTTATTTTTGTAAAACTACTTTCTGCCGATAAATATAGGCTAGATCACCAGGCATTGCTCTCTATTTGTTCGTTAACTTTTCTTTTCTGAGAGGCTTATTTGTATGTCATTAAGACTAATCTTCAAAATGGTTGAACCGATTGTGATGACACTTTACGATCACAGATAGAAAGCAATGCCTGGAGAAAAGCTATATTTTATCCGCAAACCTTGAAAAAAACCAAAAATTGATAAAACAAATGGTCTTCGATTATCTTATACCTAAATAACGCAACTTATATAATAAAATTAATAAGTTAATTGAGCCGTAGCGGGCCAAATGCATGTGTAATAAAGATATCTAAGATTGTAAAATCCAAATTTAACGAAAACTGTGCGATAAAAACATGCTATTTAAAATAAAAGAACGCAGATATTTAACTGATAATTTTATACGTGAGCCTTTAAGATCTGTGCTGACCATCTGGCGATGTGATTACGTCACTCATAGCTGTCTTCTTGCATCGGTCTGATGTCGTAAGTAATGAAGACAATTCTTCCATCTATGTATGACAATAACATACTTAATGTTGAAATATTTTTAATAGAACGTGTTATAATAACTTCATTATTTTAACTAATTGAGACATGTCAATAAAGTGACACCTCGAAATTAGAAATATTATAATTACTAAAATCAGAAACTATTTTAAATAATAGCTTCATCAGCGTAAAATAGCATTTTAATGCTGCAGTGTTTCTTGTGGTGACTTTAGAATACCGGAGACCCTTTTTACTGGAAGCGAGGCACGAGCTAATTGAAACATGTCAATGAAGTGCCACCTCTAAATTAGAAATATTAATTACTAAAATCTTGAACTACTTTGAATAATTACTTTATACTGATAATATTATACTATGAAATAGCAGTTTAACCGGAGACTCTTTTTAATGGAAACGAGCTATTCCATCTTAGTCCTCAGGGGTGACAACACATGATTCTTAATCGAGGTTAGATGTATGTATGTATGTCTTTGTGCCACAGCATCCACTTAGCATCACTGTGGACTGTGTGCTCGTTTGCCACCATTATTCTATATAAAAAAAATATTTAGTTTTTAACTGGTAGTGGTGGTGTAAAAACATCCGTTACTCCATTTAGTCCCGTGAATATCGAAAAGGGCTACAGAGGGAAACTTAAACGGGAGATGTGCTGTAAGATTTTTCTGATAACAATTAGGGACTTTAGATGGGTTGTAATGTAAGTATATGTATGTATGTATAAAAACTTCGAGCTTCGCCAGGACCAATGGAATTGTTAATGAGAGTTTTAATTACTGTATTACTGTCTGCTCAGTAGTAAGGGTTGTTTGCAGGTTGTATATCTGAGAAATGAAATATTATTATTATAGCATAAGTAAAATATTACGAGTGGATGTAAAGTCCGCGAACACGCTATGAAGAAACGCGGCGAACATATTGCTTCATAAGTCTCTTAGAAACTGATCCGTAACCAGAGGCCTGTGCCCAGTGGCCTTTGCCCAGGTGTCTGTGCCAAGAAATAGGACGCACATAGGCTGTAATTTTATTTTTTATAAAGTAAACTGCATCGCAAAAAAGTTTTTTTCCGATTTTAAAGTTTTAAGCCAGTTCTGAATGTTTTTAGGTGTAAGGTCCCTGACAAAGCTTAAATAGGTTGGTTTGAAAGCACCACTCTCTCATTAAATATTGTCTTTCGCGTGATATTTTTTTTATAGGATAGGGTGTCAAACGAGCACACAGTCCACCTCTGTAAGTGGTTGCTGTGACCCATAGAAATCTACATCTATCCTCAAAATAGAATCAAAATGCAGATGCGTCGTTACCCGTGAGGACTAAAATGGAATGCTTCTTTTCCAGTAAAATGGGTCTCAGGTTCTCTACGAAACACTGCAGTGTCAAGCTGCTATTTTACGCTGGTATTCTGTGAGAGCGTGGTCTTTTCCTGGTCGAGCCGACCTATTCGTGCTACAACTATACTATTAATATAGCTGCAACATGGCTCTACCACGTGTAATATAACAGACAAAAACAGTATAATAAAAATCATGCTATTTCAGATTACCGCCGCAAAATACTGTTTTGTTTTGTATATTCTGTTCTATTCTATTCTATTCTATAGTGAGTTTAGAAAACCAAGAACTCTTTTCAAAAACCTAAAGTTATAAACAAACTTACAGTCCACTAGATAGCATGTGGCTACTGCAGCCCATAGACACCTGCAGTCAACTGCAAATAAAGAAGGCCACAGATGCGTTATCGCTTCTGAGGACTTCGATGGAATTCATCACAGTTTGTAATTATACTGGCTGTCTGTATCCTTTAGACTGAAACACAGCGGTGTGTGTAAATATATTTGGCGACAGACCATCACCTTCATATTTAATTTTATATTATTATTTTTATTGGTAAAGGGGTATTCCATCTTATTCCTTAGGGGTGACAATGTATCTGCATTGTGATTCTTAATCGAATATAAGATGTAACTGTCTATGACCTACAGCATCCACTTAATATAATTTGGACGGTATGCTCGCTTCTCATCCTTACTTAATAAAAAAATCTACTAATACTTCGTCTCAAGGCTGTCGTATATCTGGCATGTCGACTATGCCTTGTACTTGCCAAAAATCTCGTTTCGATTGCGATGTAACTATCCCGTATAATTAAAATATAAGATAATGTACACATATGAATAAAATTAAATTTTGTGTCTGTGGAATATTGAAATAACTGGGATTTATTAAGTTTATTTGCACGCTATTAAGACAAATAACTATTTTTAAAATTTATTTCTGTCTATCTGTCCGGGCTAATCTTCGTAATGACTGAACCGATTGTAATGAAACTTTACGAAAAGATAAAGGACAACGTCAGCAGGGATGTAGGTTATATTTTATCTGATTTTTTTGAGAATTCGAAAAATTGACAAGAGAAATGATATTTCGTAATTATCTTAAATGAAAATAACGTCACATTAATAAATCTAGATGAAGACATGGCGGGTCGCTAGCAATAAATATTTTTTTTTATAGGATAAGGGTGACAAACGAGCACACAGTCCATCTGATGGTAAGTGGTTATTGCGGCCCATAGACATCTACATCTATCCTCTGTTACAAATCAAAATGTAGATGCGTTGTCACCCGTGAGGACTAAGATGGAATGCCTCATTTCCAGTAAAAAGGGCCTCCGGCCATCTGCACTCACCAAGCGAAACGCAGAGATAAACCTCTACTTCACGCCGGTTTTCTGTGAGGTCGTGGTACTACCCCGGTTCGAGCCGGCCCACATCCGTGCGACAGCAAAAGCTGCCGCGTGGCTCTACCACTGTTAAAATTTACTGAGGACGGTGACAGGAAGCAACTTCGAATATGTGGTAGATCTGGTACGCAAACCTTCCTGTTATTGGTGCCGATTATTGCAAACCGTCTCCGCTGTGGGATGTTCAATAGTAACAGTTAAATATATTGGAATTTAAAAAAATACATCTCAGAGTAATTATAGCGATTAATATTTGAAGTAGAGCTATCAGTGATATCACCAATTAATTAAGCTACTAATTTATGATATGGCAGTCAGTGTGTTTATGAAATCATCCATTTACATCGACCATTACAGTCATTTGTATCAGATAATAATTCATGATCAAGCGGGGCGTTTTCGGCCACCACTAAGCCATGTTGCAACCGCTATGTAAGAAGTTTTTTCCTCGCGAAATGCGACTAAAAGAAATTCTCAAGTACACGCCCCTGTAATATTTGCAATCTGGGCCGATCGATAATTTTTTACAATATATAAAGGACCAGTTGGAGTTAAGACCCATCAGTTGGTCTCCAGACGCAACCGCCACCACAATGAAGAACTTTGTAAGTTCTTAAGAAAGTTATCGGATTCATAAATTCATTAAGCAATACCGAAAATTTTCAACGCTCAGAGTTATGTGCAAGTTATCCCGATAAAAATTTTAAATTCTAAATGTATTTAAAGTTGATCTTTGTGACCTTTAACCGTTTAAAAAAAGCGTTAAGTGTTAAGAATTCGTTAAATTTATTCTTAACACCAACGACGTTAATTATTAAAATTGAATTTTGTAGCTTCGTCATTCAGAATACAAATTAACTTTGATATATTATATTGAAAATTTTCCTAATTTTATCGACATTTTTAATGAAAATTTTTAGTGTAAATCGTTAAACTAAAGATGAAGACTTATGTTCGATTCTGCTTCTTGTGGCTCCAATAAGAACGCTGTGGCTCCACCTCATGTGGTTTTATAACGCTAAAATTATATCATCTTGTAGATTAAGATTTATAACATGATTAAAATATTGTTAATTTTTTTTTCAGATTACCTTCCTTGCTACTGTGGCCTGTGTAGCAGCAGCACCTGGCTACCTCTTAACCCACGAACCTGATTACGTCCACCTGCCTGTATCCAAGTCTACATACACTACATCAAGCCAGACTATTGACCACGGCAGCACCCACGTTATTCACCCCTTGCCTGTAGTCCACACTGCCCCACTAGTCCACATCCCAATGTCGTACAGCACCCAGTCCCACGAACGTACCACATACAACGCACCCGCCTCTAAAACAACGGTAACTAACAGTAAACAAATCGTGAACCATGGAAGCACATCTGTATACCACGCGCCAGTCGTCCATCCGGTGGTAGCTCTCCATTCATCACCAGTTGTTTACCACTCATCGCCTGTCGCCTTCAAGAATCCGGACTACGCTGTATCTCATCAGAGCTCAACAGTCCACGAGACAGTCCCTGTAGTGAACTCTTTAGCATTGTACGCGTTACATTAAGATTTTTTAATTGTTAATGAGAATTAAATAATGTAAATGTCATTTATTTGTTATTTTTCATAACCTTTCTACACGTGGTAGAGCCATGCTGCAGCTATGTTATGGTTGTAGCACGAATGGGTCGGCTCAACCGGGGAAGGACCACTCTCTCACAGAATACCAGCGTAAAATAGCAGCATAACGCTGCTGTGTTTCGTATGGTGAGTGTAGAGAACCGGAGACCCTTTTTACTGGAAACGAGGCATTCCATCTTAGCCCTCAAGAATAACAACGTATCTGTATTTTGTTTTGTAATCGAAAATACATGCAGATGTCTATGGGCCACAGCAACCACTTACCATCAGGTGGACCGTGTGCTCGTTTGTCACCCTTTTTCTATAAAAAAGTCGAATGGCAGATTCCTGCCCTAGACCTTCCGAATTCTCAGTATGAACCCTTAAGCGGCCTACGTATTTCATTTACTGAGTAGTAACGCTCCTTTTCTACCAAGCAGCAATACCTGCATTGCTATGTTACCATCTGAAGAGTAAAGAGATCCAGCATATAATTTATTTTATATTTCAATACTGACGGTTACGTTGTTCTAGTGTTCGTAAGCGTGACTGCTAGTCATTGGGTTTGAGCTCAAATCCCGGGTCGCACCAAAATTAGTTATTGTGTTTTTCTGTCAGTAGCAGCTCAGAGTCAGGAAGTTTGTGGTGCTTTACCCTCCAGTCTCGAAAAGCGCGTAAATTTTTTGGTACTGTATCTGATCTCTCTCTGGTCATATTACATTGTCGTCCCATCAGACTATGAAAGTGAAGTAATAGCGAGTACACCTGTGCTTGCGCACACATTCGTGCGCTTTAATCCTGACCTGCAGGACTAAAATGTGGTCTGAAAGAGGACATACTTACAGGCTGTGAGGATTTCCATCTCAGTCAGTGGAGGTGACGACTCCGTATTTGTAATCTTCTTCGTTGGAATTTGGTGGTCTATGGCCGGCAGGGCTACTTACAATCGCGTGGACTGCAAGTTCGTTTGTCACTTTAATTTTATAAAAAAAAAAACACATAAACAGCACACAGACAAACACTCAGACAAAGAATTTATAAACGTGCAAAAACACGTGGCGTTTATCCACTGCGCTACTGAGCCATTATGTCTTTCTATGTAATAATATTTCTTTTTTCATTTTAGTATTTAAATTTTTTCTTCCATTGTTATTCTTTCTTCTGCTCTTTATTTCCTTTATAACTCGGTTGTTCGAAATTTCAAATGCACATATTTCGAGCGAAATTTCCATTCAATATTAAGGTCATATATAAAAGCCAAAGAGCAAAGTCGCTTCTCGCTGAAGGTTATCGATTAAGGAGATACTTAACGTAATGTACGAAATAATGCTAGTGCGTATTTGATATAGATTTTTAACTTATCAATTCACTTTCTTTTAAAACAATGAAAGTGTTATCAAGAATTTTCTACCGACTTCAAAAATGAGGAGGTACTCAATTCGACTGGCTGAAGCTGGTGCTTCTCGTGTGGTCCCATATAAACCTGATGATGATATGATCTGAAATGATCAAGGTCTGACCAATAGTGTTTGAGATATCCTCAATAATTTATATTGAAGTCGGCTGTACAAAATTGTTAATTTTAAATGATAGTATTAAAAAGTTAAGGAAACAGTACTTCAGATACTAAAGTTATACATTAAACGAAACTAATTTTACGGATTTTATCGCGTTTAATTTTAACATTGTAGTTTAACATTAGTCAAGGGAGGGATTGAAGTGTTTGACTTCCCGATGTGATAGTTAGCCCCGTTACATTATGCTTTTGAATATTAATGTGTTTTAATTTTTCGTCCTTTAACGTCGCGAAGTAAAAAGTTAAAATTAAACGCGTTAAAATCCGTAAAGTTAGTTTATATAAGGATGTTAATATAAGGAATCAGTACACTAAAGTATAACTCAAAAATTGTAAATATTTTACTAAAAAACCAATAAGAAATAAAAAAAAACCGAGACACCATTTTCAATAACACGTGGGGTACCAAAAAGTTTAATCCGGCGCTGCACATGTGGATGATACATTTCTTTTAAATAAAATAAATAATTAAATAAGCAAAACTTAGAGAAGGCTTTCTCTATTAACATTATAAATGATAAGAAATCTTTAATAAATTACTCACGTGTATCCTTGAAGTCGCAAAACTTGTATTCATAAGTTTGATTGCAAGTACAGCGATGTAATTCTTCACTGCACGCTACCGCGTTACGGGTTGCCACATACCATCATTATGTGGCCATCACATTCAAGGCAAGGCGTGATGCTAGGCGGTAATGTTGGCTGACCTTTTGAACTTGCCTATTTGATATCGATTAAAAACCATACGTATTAATTGCGGTTTGAATGCTTCTAATTGTTTTATTAAATCATTGTTTATTGACGCCATTACAAAAATTTAAATTTAAAAATTGGCATTCGTAAAATATACCTAATTTGATTAATAACATTCTTCATAGTGTTTTTGCACAAAGTTGATGTGAGTATTCCATTTTAAACCATATGAAAAGAAATATTACGGGAAAGTATAGGCGCAGAAAGGTTAACATCGCTTTATCATCATTATCATTACGAACCATCTCATCTCAAACCTCTCGTCGCGTAATTAAAGAAACCGTTATGAATTTGAAATGTACTCGTTATATACTTTTGGGAAAAAACTTCAAGCTAACTGTTGCTATAATATAAATGTCATGCGAAATGTAAATGTAACAGATTTTCATATATTAAAAAAAATGAAGCAAACACAAACCAAGCCTTTCGCTGAAATATTTATAAATATATTTTAAATTGGAAGTAAGTAATTCTAACTATAGTAGACGTATTTTACATATTAGTAGAGGCTTTCGTGTTATCAAATCGTTCTACTCCTGAAGTAGTACGTGCGTTATTTAAATATTTCTCCTTTTATGGTGTACCGTGTACTAAAGATTCCTTATCCAAAAGCTAGCCAAATAAAAAGCGATACGATGGACAAGCATCTCGAATTCATGCGTAATGAATCTCGTGATACGACGACTGGCTTCGCGCAACCATTGAGCAAAAACTCGTGAAATAAATGTTCAACGATGCGCGTGCGCATGTTTAAATTTTACTTTCTGCGTGAAGGATCCGTCGAATTTGAGAATTTATTCATCAATTATAATAATGATCGCGCAGCGACCTTACTGCGCACAGAATAAATTATTTCACATATTACATTTAAAAAATTTATCATTATATATATAATTGTAAAATTTTTAAATGTCAAGTCAAGTGAAATTAGATGAAATTAAGTAGCTTTACCTTATCGTTATCTTTCGTAACGATAGACGAAGTGTTGTAGGGTGTCCTCCCACTAGATGGAGTGACGACCTGGTAAGACATGCAGGTACCACAGGTGATTTCTTATATTTACGCGAACACTACACATTGAATAAAACTATTTTTACGGATTTTATCGCGTTTAATTAACTTATTTTATATTCCCGACGTTTCGGTTGCTTTCCAGCAACCGTGGTCACGGGGGACTGAGGTGATTGACGTCCCGATGTCAAAGTTAACCCGGAGTACCTTCAGCTTTTTAATTATTAATTTTGGTCCGATCTACGCAGAATGAACTAACTGTGTCTTGAAGTCTTATCCAATCATACCACTGTAAGACTTCAAGACACGACGTTTCGGTTGCTGGAAAGCAACCGAAACGTCGGGAATATAAAATAAGTTAATTAAACGCGATAAAATCCGTAAAAATAGTTTTATTCAAGGTACCACAGGTATTTGGTGGAATTCTGTACAGGAGGCTTATGTTCAGCAGTGGGCTTATGAAAGGCAATGAGATGGTCGCTACCAGGCTGTTCCTTAAATATGTTTTGTGAATAGCTTGTACAACCTATGTCCTTATTAGATAACTTACTTACTTTGTAAAATAATTCCCGCTGGTTTTCTTTCATGGTTCTTCCCAGGATAGAGGTATTTCCGAACAAGTGGTAAAGGTAAAAATGACTTTCAATAAAGATTTCTGGTAATCAATATTGGCCAAAAAGTTATTCTATTCTATTCTGTTCGACCGAGGAAGGACCACGTTCACACTGAATACCTGCTAAATAAAATAGCAGCTTTATGCTGCTGTGTTTCATAGGGTGAGTGTAAATATCCGGAGACCCATATTACTAGAAAACAGGCATTCCATCTTAGTTTCTGGAGGTGACAATGCATATGTATTATGTGTTCTTAATCGAGGATAGATGTAGACGTCTGTGGGCCACAGTATCCACTTACCATCAGTAACTGATAGTAAGTGGATACTGAGGGTCTTTATGCCCGCTTGTCACCATAATTCTACAAAAAGAACATAGTCAATTAATTTTTTTTACCATTTATTTCAGCACTTGATTACAAGCCCTCCTGGTGTTAAGTGGTCTGGAACACTAGATCCTAAATTGCACTGTCTTAGTGTAATAAAAGCCTATTCACTTTTGCCTTGCAGACGTCCAGATCATATTCGGACTGAAAGGCAGAAACATTTTCTAGCAGACGGCGTGTCTACATGTTTTCATTTTACTTTCTGCGTTTAGTATCCATCAAATATGAGATTTTATTCATATAAATGATAACGATCACGCAACTAAAGAGTATATAATCAGTGCGTTATACACGCTACCTTCTTATTTAACACAGATCAAATTATTTCAGATTACGTGTGTAAATTCCTTATATGTAGATTATATAAAAAGATAACAACATGTAATTATGTAGCTTTAATATGTACAAGGCCGTACAAAATTATTATACCTAAATGAATGAAATGAGATCTATCACCAACAGTCAGAAAAAACTGATGATAGATAAGGTATCTTTCACTAAGGCAAGTTTCTTAAAATATTACAATGGTAATACCTCAATTTTGTACAATGTTGTAATCACAACAGAAATTCACCAAGCTAGCATACATTCCAGATTACCCGTGTAGT